ATATATGGTATATGTATATGCGAACCATGTTTAACTTTACGTCTGCTGCTTTTTAAGCAAACTTCAGGCTCAAAGTTGTTAGGTAAACCTCACACCTGCTGCAGTTACGCATCAGTTCTTTTTAGTGATTCCTTCTATTTCTAGTTATGGTTAAACACTTTGAATATGAAATGAACTAAGCAGCTTTGCCTGTTCATTGATTTCAATTCTATTTACAAATAAAATCATAACAGAATGATATTTTAGGAATTCATGTATATATTCAGCAGCCGAATTTCACCAAAGATTTATTGAAACTACTTCTAGCAAATTGGTTTTCCGTGTCATACTATTTAAACCAGAGATACATTCACAAGTCAGGGAAAGTTTGCGAAAACATTTAAGTATGGTGTACGTACAGGCAGCTATAAAATGTTTAACTGTAGCCCGCCTTAACGCCCAAAACTATGGCTCGTTCAATGTGCTTTTCCAGCTACGTGATGAAATAAAATTATACTGAAGGAGAATCTAAAAAGCCAGAAAGGTGCTTCACTGTACAATAAGGCACGAGGAAGACAAGTCGGTGCTCTTTTAATTACCATAATTACATAACTGCACACACGCACAGGCACACGCACAGACACACACACACACACACACACACACACACACACAGACACACTTACAATGATAATATTGCGGTTGCCTATAAGTATGCAGCACTTGTAATTGGTGGAAGCGAAACAGCAAATGTTTGTGGAGTGGGCTAAGTGCAAAAACGACAGGGAGAGAGTGAGGGAGGGAGTGATGGCTGCAGGTCAGGCATGTGCCACCCTGTTGCTCTGCTTTTATTGTCCTTATCGCATAAACTTAAATAGTTTTTACCAGCCACTTTGCGGTTTTTAAGTTATTTTGCGTGCAGCACTCTCAAGTCGCCTACTCAAGCACGGGAAACCCAGCTCTCCTACACGTCTCTCTCTCTTCCTCTGATACTTTTCCTCGCTCGTATTTTCTTTATTGTTTGCTGCCAGGGCAAATTAAAGCTGACTTTTGAAGTGCTGTGCGAGAGCAGCAAGGAGCAGGTGCTTAGAGTCTTGCGAGGGGCGCCAAAGTTCGAATGTTAAACTAGTTATTTGGCTAATTAAATCGCAGGTCCAGTTTGATATTCATCTGGCCGCAAGCCTTATTTGCAACTTTTAATTATTGCTCATAAGATGGGGCCAGCTTAAGGTACATTCAGACCCCCCAACTTGCACGCCAACCCAGCCCACTTAATGCTTCCTACCATACCTTAGCACGTAGCCGCCCGGCTTAAATGTTTCGCAATTAATTTTCATGCAACTCGGTTATTAACCCACCTAACATATGAGGCGAGTGGGTCGATGTGGTCTTTGTTGGCCTCTTTAATTTTCCCAGCGATTTGTTCAGCTCGGGGGCGTGTTGCCGGTGGGCGTGTTTGCCGTACTAAATCAAAGCTCTTGCCTATTTTTATTCACACGCTCTTGCATTTATAATTGCAAAATAACTAGTGATTAGCACGTTTAGTTATTCGGGCCGACGATTCGACTTTAGTTATTAAACAAAGGTGCTCACTGATGGGAATTAAATTGATTCAAATATCTATTTCAATAAATATAAATTACTAATTAGTGGAAATATTTATTAATTAGTCACTGTTAAAGAGAATATTTTTGCCATACAATATATTTATATATGTATAATCCACATTTTTATTGCTGTAAACTATTTTCATTTATTACATTTTACCGACAAATTATTCAATCGGATAAAAATTTATGCAGAGCACTAAAAAATGTACATCAAAAAAATAGGCCTTAAATTTGTTACATATGTAAATTCCATTCCAGCAATAATAATAAAAAACTGGTGTCAAACAATTTAATTTTCAATTGCAAGCAAAGTATTTGTTTGTGACATAATTTAAATTCATATCAGATTTACATTTAATTGTGTTATTGGGGATCGTTTAGGCTTATGACATTGAACTGTCGCTCCATAAACAAATTAATGTTAAATCCATTGCAATCAGCAACTGGAAGCTCAATTGTTGACTGTAACAAGTTTTCATTTTGGATAAGCATTAACTAAAGATTTAATTATTGGACATTATTTACACTTCGTGGGAAACCACTCTGTGCTGTATAAGCCATACAAAACCTAGTCCTTCCATTATTATAAAGGACTACACACATTTAATATTCTATTATGAATTAGGTAGAATTCAATTAAAATTTTGTGAAAGCTTTTGAATTTGATAATAAAAACAAATTATTTTATGCATTATACCATACATAAATATGTGTAACGCCATAAAGTTCACTACTACTACTACTGCTACTACTAATTGTACTAATGCTAAAATCGACTATTAGTACGACTTCTACGACTACTACTACTAATTGTACTACTGCTCATACCACTATTAGTACGACTTCTACTAGTATTACTACTACTACTACTAATTGTAATACTGCTAATACGACTATTAATACGACTTCTACTAGTACTACTACTTCTACTACTACTACTACTAATTTTAATACTGCTAATACGACTATTATTAGTACGACTTCTACTACTATTTCTACTACTACTACTACTAATTGTAATACTGCTAATACGACTATTAGTACGACTTCTACTACTACTTCTACTACTACTACTAATAATTGTACTGGTGCTTCTATTGCTATTACTACTATTACTATTGCTACTCTTACTACTAGTACTACGTCTACAAGTAAAACTGCTACTAGTCGTTCCTCTTCTACAACTATTACTAAAGCTACACCTACAACTACTACCATTATTATTAATACAAATATTACAACTCTGACTATCATTACTACTACTAATGCCACAACTAATAATATAACACAAACAATTTAATTTATGACAAATTATTTGAACTTGACTTGCGTTTTCTGGCTTGAGTCTGAATGCAAATAAGTCATACAAAAGGCATTTATTAGGAAAGCATTGGTACTTATGCGTACTTATTTATTTAGCAAACAATCTGAGACTAGAATTTTAACTTTATTGACCTGTTGTCCAATCGGGCCAAATGGCCAGGTTATACGTGCGTGCGTGTCTATCGAATTGCCTTTGCTGGCAATTTCAATTTCATGATTCGGTCACAATTTCCATTGTCGAGCGCCCCAAATGCATTTGGCTTTCATAAATAAATAAGTCCGTTAAATTGTCCATGCTCCAGAGGCTCAGTGCCTGTCTTCTGGCCATGCTCTGCTTTCTGCTTGTTTGTCACTTTCTGGCATCGGATTTGAATGTTACTTTGCTATGCTTATCACGTGCCCCAGTCCATGTCCATGTCCATGTCCATGTCCAACCCAGTGCTGAGTCCATGTTAAAATTGTCAGATGTTTGCTAGCTATTATCCCCACGGCTCAAGCGGCCATTTAAGCAGCTTACAGAAAATGCGATTGAAAATTTCCATGAATTTCTGTTTTGCCAAACGTAAACCGAAACAAACAAAAAATATATATACAAAACATTTACAGCATCCGATTTGTAACTAACGTCGAGCTTTAAGTTCGTTTTCTAGTTACTCACTCGTTAGCTGATTATAATTAACTGCATTGAAATGCTGCCCAACGTCTTTCAACTGGCAAGTAATTGATTTTCGCAAAACACTTTTGATATTCCATTAAATGCCAAAAGTTGCTGGCCATGGCTAAAAAACGAGGAAAAATGGCGTAACTTTGATTGCAAATGTTGTTTGCCTCGACCAAAGCTCACTTTGTGTGCTCGACTAAGTGAGAGAGGGTGTAATGCAATAATACAA